TCATCACTGAGGAGCTCCAGTCCCTTATCGTCTTTGTCACCCTCCCCTGGACCTGCTCCAGGAGCTCCATGTCCCTCTGGCCCTGAGGAGCCCAGAACTGGACACAATCCTCCAGGTGTGGCCTCACCCATAGAGGCAGGATCACCTCCCTGACCTGCTGGCAGTGCTCTTCTTAATGCATCCCAGGATTCCATTGGCCTCCTTAGCCACAAGGACACACTGTGACTCATGGAGAGCCTGTTGTGCACCAGGACCTCCAGGTCCTTCTCCTTGGAGCTGCTCTCCAGCAGATCAGTGCCAACCTGTACTGGTGCTTGGGGTTATTCTTCCCCAGGTGCAGGAGCTGCACTTGTCCTTGTTGAATTTCAGTTGTTCAGTTCAGTAGATGGTGTTGGAGGAGAGGTGACCTGACTGAAAGGAGGTGCTCTGGCTGTGATGGAATCCATAAAAGCTCATTCTGTGCTTTGAAATGGAAAGGCAGTAAAATGGGGCACTGGAGAACAGGTAGCATTAGTGGCTTTGATTCTCTGAACACAAAGGTAGGGAAAATGGCACACTATTTGCTTGTCTGCAGAAGTTCAGTTTATATTTGATTCTACTGCTTTCCTTTTTCAGAAGTCATAACACTTGGCATGTCCTTGGGTGTGAACATGTGACACATCTCTCGTGCAAAAACTTTTTCATGTCAGTTGATCTTAAGTCACTGTTCTCCTGCACTTTGAAATGCAAATGTGAAGTAGGATCCTGCTTAGTTACAGGAGTGTGCTGCCACACCATTCCAGGATAAAACTGGGTAGAGGGGAATTAGGGCACACTTGCTGTTGAAGGATGAGTTCTTGATTTGCATCATGATGACTTCCTCATCTGCTCATACTTGTATGATTATTTAATGTGTACAATATTCAGGAAATTCTTTGTTCTACCCTAATTTAGCTTACAGGATATTTTTGGTTTGCTTGGAAACCTTTTTTTTTTTCCTTCACTCTGCTAAGACAAAACTGGAAGATAACAGTGATTTATGTAAATTTTATTTTCCCCCCAGAACTGAAGGTTTATGTCAAATTTTGTCATATTGTACTACTTCTAGTTATTTATTTAGTCTGTACTTGATTTAATCCACTACAATTAACTTCTAGTGATGTAGAAGATGGGTTGGTTTTTTTTCCTTAAGTGTGTTTGTTGAAAATCTGGAAGATTAGCTTTTTGTAAACTGCATTTGCACACTTAAATCAGGCAGTTCTGAAGTTACCTATAAACTTTAGCTTGTGAAATTCTGTTTCTCCTTACATTTTATGACTAGTGATGCTCTCTGAGTGCTTTTCTGTGAGCCTGGTTCTTGTTAAGATACCCTCAGTGTGTATTTGTAGCTAAACATCAGCTATTGCAGATGAGTTGGTAGGCTACTAGTAGGTTGGAGTTTTTTCCTCCTGTGTTTTTTCATAGAGGAAAAAATGAGAAGTCTATTTACTACATGTAGTGACTCATTTTTAGACAGGAGTTCTTTGAGTGTACCAAAATACTTCAGAGACAGTAGCCCAAGCTGTCAGCTGGCATTTTTCAAACACTGACAGTTTTTGTCATTGTATTCTTTGAACTAGTCCAGCCTTGCTGAGAGGCTGCACTGCAGAAATCTCTGCAGCTCTGTACAAGGTTTGTATTTCCATATTACCAGGGTGGTCTTACTGCTCAGCTACATATCTGTACTTGAAAAAGGAGCAACCCCCAACTATTGCCTAGCCTAGTGATGCTTGTGTCTTCCTCCCCTTTAGTTCCATGTTGGAAAGTGACTTGTTTCTCCATTACTCTATGAAATGCTTCTCCACTGCTCTTTCATTCCCCTCAAAGCTGTAGAGCTTGCATGACAGATGCATGACAGGACTAACAAACCCCATACTAATTATTTCCTTTTATGTTTTCCAAAAGGAGTGGCTTTCAAAAGGACATGGAGAATACAGAGAGATCCCAAGTGAGAGAGACTTTTTCCAAGAAGTCAAAGAAAGCAAAAATGTGGTTTGCCATTTCTATAGAGAGACAACGTTCAGGTATGGTAAATAAGCTATGCTGAAGAAACCTTTTGTGTAAAGATGTCTACAAAAATCAGACACATTCTTTTGTTCTTTCAAATTCCACAAATAAATGGGCATTTTTAGAAGTATTTAAATTCTTTCATTTTCCAAATCTTGCAAAAATTTCGGGTTTTTTTTTCCATTACAGTTAATCTGACCATGATTTGACAACAACTAATACTCTGTTACACAGTTGATTAGAACATAAATGAATAAGCTCTTTGACAATATTGGAGACTGCTGTGTTTCATTATTGATTTAATGTGAGGCAGCCACATCTGTAAATGTAGTGACCATACAGGAGCAGCATTTCATGGAATCATAGAACCACCAGGGTTGGAGGAGACCTCTAAGATTATTGAGTCCAACCATTAACCTGTCACTGCTGGAACCACTAAACCCTAAACCAGATCCTCCAGTGCCACATCAGACACCTCTGAAACACCTCCAGGGATGGTGACTCCACCACCTCCCTGGGCAATATCCCAGTGCCTCAACACCCTCACAGGGAAAACATTTTTCCTAACATCCAATCTGAATCTCCTGTCTCAGCTTATTACTGTTTCAAGAAGATTGCTTGGGTTGTTGCAGATAGAGATATTCTGGGCAGATCTGGCAAACAAAAATAAATATGCAGCCAATATTTTATCTAGGTATCTTGAGAATTTAACCTTTCACTTTTGAAGGTTCTGATACCAATAGCAGCTGCTTTCCCTTTGTGCCTGTGCCTTTGTGATTATGTCACTTAGGAACCAGAAATAGGATCTCCCACTTCCCTGGAAAAATCTCAGAAGTTCTGGGTTGTAGGTTGTTCCTCAGTGGGTCTCTCTCAGTGTGTTCTGTTAAAATGCCGTTGCAAAGTAGAGTAGTTTGTTGAAGGAGGAGCCAGTTGTCCTGCTTTTGGTTGGTTGGGCTTGCCCCCCCCAAATGTGTTATGTTCTCTAGCTTATAGAATATACACTGGAACAGCCTCAATGTGAGAAACTGAAAGAGGTCAAAGCTGGATTACGCAGTGAGGTGTCTGTGTCCTACATTTTGTAAGTTAAATGTTTAAGTTTCAGAAATATATGAAGTTGTTCAGTTTGGCTGGCTTTTACTCAAAGGAGTTGCAAGGCTGTTGCTGCAGATAAAGTAACTTCCAGCACGTTTGGGTTGTTTGGTTCTTGTTTTTTGAACCAACAAAGTCTGTAGACTCAGACAGGAGAAGGAACTTTAGAGAAGGTGCTATGTAAAATGTGTCGTGCTGGCAACCAGCTTGAAACTCACGTGTTGGCCTTACCAACCACCACATCGAGTTGCTTTCATCTTTGCCCACTGCAGCTTTGTGATCTGTTGAGCACTGCTCTTGAGTCAAAGGACAGTCCCATCACAGCTAAGCCAAACCACTTCGAGAAGACAATCCAGCAAGTTGAGATTGTAGGTGACAAGTCTATACAAATCTCTGCCATGTGACAAATGTTTTGAGCAGTTCACGTCACTGTCCCTTAGCTGAGAAGCAATAATTGTGTGCTCACTCCCATTCCCTGGCAAGAGAAAAGTGAGATATTTTTGCCTACTGAACCCATCTGGGCAGATCACTTTTTTTTATCCTGCACAGTCAGTTATTGCACCTCAGCTGTGAATGCAGTGACTGCAAAAATCCAAAACACTGTAACATGCTGAGAGTACTTCTCTGAAGAAATCTTCTAATGAGAAGTGTTTTCAGCTGACAGACAGTGAAGCTAGAGCAGGAGCAGTAGAAGAACTTTCATCAATGAGTGCAGGCCTCAAGAAATGAGAGAGAAGCTTTCAGATTGTATGGGAGGTAATTAGGAAGAAATTAGAGAAATGGATGGTGTAACTGCAATAAAGGTGCTGCAGGCTGTTATTCTGTTAGTCATTAAATCCAGCTCCCTCTGAAACACAGCTTCTCTTCAAACTAAATTCTTAATTACAAGGGTCATGTCTGAGGGACTAGTATGAGAGAACTTTTTCTAAAATCCTCAGTTTATTCGCTCTAACACTTTATATATTTTGTGTCATTTTTTTTTTTCCCTCCCCACAGGTGCCAAATAATGGACAAACATTTGACTGTACTGGCAAAAAAGCACATTGAGACAAAATTCTTGAAGTTAAATGCTGAAAAATCTCCTTTCTTGTGCGAGAGACTGCGCATCAAAGTCATTCCCACTCTAGCACTAATCAAAGATGGGAAAACGCAGGACTACGTGGTGGGCTTCACTGACCTTGGCAACACTGATGACTTCACTACAGAAACCTTGGAGTGGAGATTAGGCTGTGCAGACATAATTAATTACAGGTGATTAATTGGCGTGTGATTGGTTTGTTTTCAGATACAGCACAAGGAGAACATGCACACAGACAGGAGAATCTGTGAAAGTTTGTAGCGTTGAGATGTTGTGTGCTTAAGGCAGGAGAGAGTTGAATCCAGTTGTTTATCTGTGTGCTTTGGTCAGGGAAAGGAGAGGATCTCTTTGGCAAAGTACTGAGACATTGTGATGGGTGTTATGTTGTGCTTTTTGTAGAGTAGTTAAAATAAATCCAGTTCTTGCCATGAGGTGAGTAGAGCAGCAGTGCTGCTTTGACATGGCCTCAGTCATGCACCTAGTGTAATCCTCTCTAATTCACCTCTAGGTGCTTCATGTCACAGTTGCAATGCAGTAAAGTTTGAGCACTTTGAATCCACTTTGGAGAAAACTCAGCAGGTCATCCTTGAGCTCCATCTTAGTCCATATTACATGCAGGAATATGGGTTTTTTTTCCAATGAACATAAAGTGAAAATCAGTTGAAGAAGTGTAAATAAATTGAGTAGCAGTACAATATATCATAATAAACTCCACATTGAAGACTGCAGGGCAGAAGGCAGTAGAATCATAGAATTTAGGGGTTGAAATTGATCTAGAGATCACCCAGCCCCAACCCCTGCCCTGGGCAGGGACACCTCCCACCAGAGCAGGTTGCTCAAGGCTCATCCAACCTGGCTGTGAACACTGCCAGGGTTGGGGCAGCCACAGCCTCCCTGGGCAACCTGTAGAAGATACCTGTCACCACAGCAGCCTAACTTTACAGCAGAATTATATACCAGAACTTTCTGCTTTGCTTTGCAATGTGGCTCAACTCTCATCTTTATAGGTTAATTTTTCTCTTTTGTTTTGAATGTCTTTGATGCTTTTTTTTAAATTTTAAACTTAATCACCTGAATGTATTTTAATGTCTAATTGCCAAATGTTGCCAAGAAACAGTGTTGTATCTTAAAAGGCAAAAAACCTGCTATTCAATTTGGCTTTAGCAGCTGTTGAACTTCAGGTGAAATGACTGAGATTAAAATGTGTAATTCAAAATGAGTGGTAATATCTAGTACCCAGTTCAGTAACAAGGAGGCAGAGGAGTCAAAGACATTCTGGACAGCAACAGCCTTTTATGGGAAGAATCTTTCACTGGAGTTGGACCAAGCTGCATTGAATTTGCTAAACATTAGTACATTGGCTCATGGCATAATTTTACTTCCTCCTTGACTCTACTAGTGCTGTGTATTTGTTCTTGGCTCCTTGTGGAGTGGGGGCTGTTGTTCTAGTCTTTGTTCACTTGGCCAGGCCCTGCCTTTGCAAAGTGAGCCACATTCCCACACTGCTCTGAAAGTCATGTCCTGCTCTCTGGAGTTCCTGGAAAGGAAATAGTCCTCCTCAGAGTCTAGAAATAACATTTCCTTCAACCTGTGGGATAACAGATGGTGAAAAGGATGTACTGTTGTCAGGGGAAAAACTGTTCAGGTCAGATTGTTTGACCAAAATTAGGATTCAGGTGGTGTATTGACCTATTACTGACATGTAACTAAATAGCAGTCAGTGCACGGTATATTTAGGATCAATATCAGTTATTTTTTTATGTAACTACAAATTTCTAAACACCTTGCTCTAGCTAATTCCAGAAGGTCCCAGTTACTCACTGATGCTTAGATGCAAAGCCCTCAGAGGTCATGTGGCTGAAAGCATGCACTCCCTGCTCTGAGCAGAGGGGATTCCTGCTCTAAGACAAGTGGGTGCTCCAGCTTTAGGGGAAAACCTGCTGTTCCCAAGAGGGAACCTGGGGCCAGTTCCCCTGGACCCACAGACTGGTGAGAGTCTCTGCAGAGTCCCCCATAGTCCTGTAGCTGGAGTGCAGTGTCTGGTGAGGAAGCTGCTCTGCCTGGCCTAGGCAGAGGGAGTACAGGATGACTTCTGGCAAACCCCAGTTTGGACTCCAAAGTCCCCATTAACAACATTTTAGCTTCTTTTATACTTGTGGCTTCTTGTTTGTATTGAAACATTTTTCTGTAGTTCTGTCAGATTCTATAATCTGACAGATTATAGAATCATAGAATTTTAGAGGCAAGAATGGACCTTATAGATCACCTAGTCCCGCCCAACCCCTGCCCTGGGCAGGGACACCTCCCACCAGAGCAGGTTGCTCAAGGCTCATCCAACCTGGCTGTGAACACTGCCAGGGTTGGGGCAGCCACAGCCTCCCAGGGCAACCTGGGACAGTGTCTCACCACCCTAACAGGGAAAAACTTTAACCTAAATTTCCTCCCCTTCAACTTGTCCCCATTGCCCCTTGTCCTGTCATTGCAGCTCCTAACACAGATCCCTCTGCAGCTTCCCTGGAGCCCCTTCAGATATCGTGAAGTTACTATGAGGTCTCCACACAACCTTCTCCAGGCTGAACAGCCCCAACTCCCTCAGCCTGTCCTCACAGGGAGATGCTCCAGTGCTCTTAGCAACTTTGTGGCCTCCTCTGGACTTGCTCCAACAGTTCCATGCCCTTATGTTGAGTGCACTCGACCATAGTTATGTTTAGCATGACCAGTTTGCAGCAAAAGCCTTTCCAGCCAGTTTTTCTCTAGAGCTCCACTCTCAGTGCTGTTTACATTCACACTTCTGTCTTAACTCCAGTTATCCAGGCCAGTTTGTCCAGGATGTGCTATACTAGCAACACCAGAGTGCTAGTTAGGGTGTCTTTAGTGAGTGGGTGTTGTGTTCTCTTACAGTGCTTTTTTTCTGGAGAAACAGGTCATTAGAGATGCTGCTTAACCATCTGTATGGATGCAGCTTTAATCATCTCATTTTACTTTTTTCCTGTAGTGGAAACTTGATGGATCCACCTTTCCAAAGTCAAAAGAAATATGGAACAAGCTTCACGAAGTTGGACAAGAAGACCATCAGAGGGAAGATATACGATTCAGATTCCGACGACGACTAAAAGAGCAGCAGAATATATTTGTAAATCATCTTTTGTTTATGCGTGGTACATTTCTAGGGATGGTTTTTATAAAGCTTACTGCTTTTCATTACATCTGCACATAATCCTCATTTTTCTATACAGTTTTATACAACTGAGTCATAGCAGAAAAAAAAAAAGCTTAAATATTTTTTTTTCCTCTTTTGGAAGTCATTTGTAATTCAGAAATCTTAGTCCTTCTAGCTAAACAATGTGGGAAGTGATGAACTTCAGCTGAAATTTTAAGTTTATGAAATGTCTTCAAGTGACCTAGAAGCAGCTGCATAGAGTCAGAGCAAAGGTCCCTCTGGCCCAACGTGCAGACTCAGTGGCCAAAAGCAGATGCACAAGGAAGAGTAAAAATGGGGTGAGCGGATAGCAATGCATCCCCACAACCTCCTTTCAGCACTGTGTGGCTGGGGGAGCTCTGTATCTGAGACCATTTGCTGTTAAAATAGTGAAGGAAAATTGCTTTAAATCCTCCTAGTATCGTAGCATCCACATCATGTGGCAAAGAGGCCACAGATTAACTGTGTCATGTGAGGAACTACTTGGTATAGTTTTCCTTGAATCTGACAGTTACAGGGTTGGGGTTTTTTCTTTCTATTAAAGGAGGTAACAGACACTTTTTCTTTAAAAAAAGCTTTTTCTCTATCAGTTCCTCTTCCAGTTGTCTCTTTAAATTTGGTATTATTTATATTATCAGCAAAGCACCACAAAATTCTGAGTAAAGAAATTGCATTTTAACGAACGATCGCTTACCTTATGGTGCCATATTGTGACATCAGATAAACTAACTGCATTGCACTATAAGTTGTAGAAACAGCTGTACCTTCTGTGATTCCTGAAATAGATGGCCAAGAGATGCCCCTCAGCCATCTGTGTCGCTGCATGGCAGAGCTGATACAGCAGGTACTAGCACACAGCAGCAAACATATTGCAGCCAGCCTTGTTGGAGGGTTTGTGTCATTCTGTGGTTGTGAACGTGTGGATTTTCTAGCAGATGCTTTGTACCAGAGAGTAGAATAGAGAAAAGTATTTGGGAGAAACCTCGATCTGTTCAGTTTAGCTGTAGCGCCGCATACTGTGTACTGTTCTTCAGCAGAGCTCTCAAGGGAGATCTTCCTTGGAACACAATGTAAAATTTCTGGCTAGGTGAAGAGTTGGTGAGATTTTGTTTTCTAAAAGAATAGTTTGCTTTGTGCTCAAGGACCCTTTTGAGGTGGTACTTTGAATCCAGTTGGTCCAAACACCAGTGAAGTGGATCTAGTCAGGCTTGCTGCCTTGTAGTGGAGAACACTTGTGATTGGGCCAGCCCAGCAATATATCTCTGTAAGTTCAAAAACTTATATTTTATTTCTGGTCATGTACATTGAAATAAAATTATTTTAATGCTAATGTTGTCTTCTGCATCCTTTCAGGGAAAGGTGGTGTAGGGGCTGTGGGTTAACTTCTCTTTTAAT